AATTTGTATACAACAAATCAATCGTAAAATACAGATGTTGACAAATCACTTCGCATATAGAATATTTTCTTCTAAACAAATAAAGGATAACTAAAGTATAATAAAGTATCATGTAATTAGTGCGTAATCTGTGATTTAGAAACTACCCTTTGACTTGGTCCTAAATTAGTTTCTACATACCAAAATAATTATTACAATTTTATTTTAAACGTAACTCTAATAAAATAAACCGTGAGTAATCTCCCCTAAACTTTCTCGAATATTCTTATATAACTTGGAATGTAGACATGATTTTTAATTACTTAAACTTTTAAAAATAGAATAGGATCTCATAGAAAAAAGAATTGCGCACCAAGCGAACGCCAAAACAGAATGTGCATTATAGTGCGCAATATTATTAGTACTTTATAAATTTACATGCGTTTTTTAAGAAATCGGAAATAGCGTAAATTAGTACTTCCGGTCAACGGAAATAACTCAAAATTTGACAGAAGGTAGAAAATTAGATCTTTTACTTACATGTGAAATTTCATTTATCTATTTAAAATAATACTCAAGTTATAGGCTTTTGAAAAATTCAAAGTAGGAAAAGTACCACTCCCGGTTATTGGAAATCGCTCAAAAGTTGATACGGATACAAGATTTTGATAAAATACTTATATATGAAATTTCATCAACCTAGCTGTAACGGTACTCAAGTAATCGTGTTTACACACAGACAGACAGACAGACAGACACACAGACATACGGACAAGATTGCAAAATTATGTTTTTCCGTATCAGTGAGGTGTAAAACGGCGAGATTTGTAAAAATCTCGATTTTTTTTTTTGCACGATTACAATACTTTCTCTATACTTCGTATATACGAGAAAGTAAAAAATGCACTACCAGCATAATACTACAGAACTTCAAGATTCCATTTTTTTTGGTAAAACATGATGATATATCAATTTACCTGTTTTTTATAAGACAATGAATTATATATACATCGACTTAACGATCAGTCCGTTGTTTAGTTTATAATTCTAACCAGCCCAGAGATACACCTATGAATTCACAACACGTCTATGTCAGTTTATGTATTTGTTATTCGGTTAAGGACTGATGCTTTTAATGAGTTGTTTTTTAGTAAGTAGCATCTGAGATCGTGGGAAGTGTGACCTACTAACCTACATACATCTAAAAATAACTCATTATAACGCCGTTAGAATTTTACTTGTAAGAATGTAGTGTTTCCTACGCCAAAGATGAGAAGAAAAGAGATTTTTCTTTTGTTTTATTGCAAAACAAGGTTTGAAGTATCACGTGAATAGCGTGAGAAATGTTCATACATTATGTTAATATTATTGACTTGACAAATGAGACAGTGTATCGTTGTAATGCAAGGTTTAAAGTATCAAGTGGGGAGAAGTATGAGAATTTATTTCTTTACATGTCAAAATTTAGTAACACAAGCAATTTTTTTTTTATTGAAACACAAGTTTGAAAGTATTGGGTGGTGGGCATGAGTAATGTTTGCTCAATAACTAAATTTTAAAAAAAAATAACTTTAACAACTGATGTTTTGAAATTAATAAATTACACTTTTAAAAATAGGGTATGTAATTTTGAGAGTATATGATAATTTAAAAGTAAAATTACTAATAATTTGCTTTATAGAAGTCGAGTTGACTATTCAACAGAAAATCAAACTTTTTTAGTACAATAGTACATGGTACTTAACTAACAAATAGTAAATAATCACAATACAATCTACAATATGAAGAAGAACATTTATATTTCAAAGTTGTTTTGTTTTATGAAAGTAACAACGTCTACGATTTCTTTGTTTAATTATTTTTTTATTGATTTGAAACTTAATGAATACATATGATTTTTCTGGAGTTATCCTTACACATTTTTGCGTTCATATTTCTGTATTACAAGTCTGTTGAAAAATTGTACAATCTTCATTAGTAAAATGTTATTTTCTAGTACTAAACAGTCTATTTTTAACGTAAAATCATCATCTTTTCATAGCAGGAGCAGCAGAGTTCACCTATTTCAATGAACTCGACTTAAGAAGGGAGAGTATAGTCAGAAAAATGCCCAGATATCTTGGTGTCTTTGCCTAAAGTCATTTACCCTACAGAGCTGGGTGGATTTAAGGGCTCGACATTTTAAAAATTATATAAATTAAATATATATATATATATATATATATATATATATATATATATATATATATATATATATATATATATATATATATATATATATATATATATATATATATATATATTTATTTATTTATTTATTTATTTATTTATTTATTTATTTATTTATTTATTTATTTATTTATTTATTTATTTATTTATTTATTTATTTATTTATTTATTTATTTATTTATTTATTTATTTATTTATTTATTTATTTATTTATTTATTTATTTATTTATTTATTTATTTATTTATTTATTTATTTATTTATTTATTTATTTATTTATTTATTTATTTATTTATTTATTTATTTATTTATTTATTTATTTATTTATTTATTTGTTACGAGTAATTATTTTACTCAATGGTCATTTTTTATCCCACTTACTGTCACAGGTCAAGCTGACCAGGTCACGCTTGATGTACTCCAGCATTTCGTAGCCTTCAGACAGGAAGACGTACTCAGGCTTGCTGGCTATGGCGTTAAGTTCTGCCTTGGTGGGGTCGGGCCCGATACCCACAGCGATGACGGTGGTACCCAGAGCCTTTAGAGCACTGGCGGCCTGGGCGGCTGAGGTAACACCAAACACAATTATAATATCATAATTATAATCAAACAATTATAATCATACAATTGTAATCGCACAATATAAATCACAAAATTATAATCACAAATTTCTAATCGCACAATTATAATCACCCAATTATAATCACACAATTATATAATCTATTTACTCCATCTTTTATTTCGATTAAAACGCTTTAAACAGTATAGACTAATTATTTAATTAACTCATTTTAATAATGTATAATTTCGTACTTAGAGCTGGATTATGGGACTGTCCATCTGTCATGACCATCAGGATATTGTTCGCGTCGTCCCTCCCCCCTGAAGCTGTGGAGAACATCTTGTCATCGGTGATAAACTGTAAACCCAGGTCTGTGTAGGTGCCAGGATTGTAGGGGTACTTGATGCCCAGCAGAGCCTGTAAATAACATACGCCGTTAATTATATAAAACGCATTCTCTTTGGTAATATTAAATGCGTAGGGTCTATTATTATTATATTAAAAAACACAGTTCAATACAGTTTTAGTATATCAACGAACAAAATTAAATATGAAATCAAATTATCATTAATCCGAAATCAGGCTTATAAAATGCTGTATTATAAATCGATTTGATACGAATATAATATTTAATAAAATAAAAGGCATTCTTTTTGTATTATGAATTGTATAGGGTCTATTATTATTTTTTAAAAAAACATCATTTTAGTGTTTGATATATCAACGTACAAAAATGTGAAACGAAATTATCGTAAATCCTTTGTTAAGGCATACAAAATACTACTTTCTAACTAGTTTTTTTTTTTAATTTAACGGTTTTAACTTTGTTTCAACTATGTGGTTCGTGTTTTACATTACTAAAATGTGAACAAAGTGACCTGTGACATAGAGGCGTGGTCAAAATATTTGTTGAGGTCAAATATTTTGGTGGCGTTTCTGTTGAAGATGACGGTTCCAAATCTGACGTCATCCTTGCCGACGTTGAAGTTCTCCGTGACGCCCGCAGCAAATTTGACCTGGTTGGCCCAGTTGGTTTTGCCGATAGAGGTGGAGGCGTCAAGCAACAAGATGATGTCGGCCTTTGTTCGCTTCGTGCATGGCTTGGGCGTTGGGGCTAAAAGACATTTCAACATTCAACAACACCACTTATATATATATATATATATATATATATATATATATATATATATATATATATATATATATATATATACTTATTTGTTTATTTATTCTAGTTAGCTGATATTTTATTCCTTGAAAATAATTATGGGCTGTTCTGATACGAAACAGACTAAATTAAAAAGAGATTAATTATTTACCCTGTGTTATAAAGAACTTATTGTTAGATTGGATGATTCCTTTAATATACTTAAATCTAAGATGGATTTTTCGATTTCAGTAACACCATCTACTGTATCTCAGCAAAGAAGTTTAAGTGCTAAAAATATAATCTCTGACGATTGTGCATTTTTGTAGTGCTATCTTACATTTAGAGTAGTTTGGACTTCAATGGTGCTAAGTGAATTGTTGCATAAAGCTTTTGAATGAGATAAAACACTTACGTGGAGGAGGTTGTGTGGTGGTGGTGGTGGTTGGTTTAGGGGTTGTTGTTGTTGTAGTGGTGGTTGTGGGTGTGGTAGGCGCAGGCGTTGTAGTCGTTGTTGTGGTAGTGGTTGGCTTTGGGGTGGTGGTCGTGGTCGTTGTTGTGGTGGTGGTCGGAGGCTGAGTTTCTGTGGAAATTGTAGAAACATTGTTTTAATGTATACATATAATCAAAGATATATAATATATAACTGCAATATAATTCAATTCTCAAAAGTTAATATTGGTCTTGATTAATTTGCGATTAGGATCTGTTTATACCCAAACGTTACCTAATGTTAGCCGATTAATTTTGGTCTGCTAGTACATTTTTTTCTGTCATTTTTCTCGTATATTAAAACATCTGTTGCATATTAAGTCAAATTTTAATTGTAAATCTTTTATTTCTAACAAATGGGTGTTTTATTTTATTAAAAGTCTATACTCCTCTTTCAATACATACGTATATAAGTATCCTATATATATATATAGGCCTATATTATAGATTAAATCAGCATTAAATAAATGTGAATATTCAATCAACACGCAGCAAGGTACTCATTAAATTAATTTAGTATCAGGAAGGCATATAATACCAAATATTTTATGTTTACTTGTATGTGAGTTTAAGTGATTTAAATTTTAACGTACCTGGTTCAGGTTCTGGTTCTGAAAAATAATATATAAAAAAATATTAAAGCTTTCTTATTTAAATAAATATCTGAATTTAATATGGCTTTGGGACTCTTAAGACAGTTCGGCACATACTAAAATACATAGTTTCATGTTTACATGCTAATATACATAGTTTCATGTATCTTGCTGGCTTACTTCGTATAGAGTATAGACAAATTACAAAAACTATACATTTTTCTTTAGTCAAAGATTGTATTTCCTAGTGTCTGCTTCCCAGGTACATTAATGTTTTCTAAATTTTCATGACATGATACAGTTACATCTAGTTTTTTAAACATAGAAATTGTGTTTCCTATTTATGATTCTGGTCTAATGTGAACGCTTTCCGCCTTACTGAAGACCGTTCTTCTGCCTCAAAAATGTCCAATGCTGCCAATAAGGATTAGACATGAAAAAGACATTTGTCAGATCTCTCATACCCTTGGCCTCTCTCTACACTGCTGTTAACTGTGTCCGATCAATGCCACAGAAAAAAATCTCACAGCTTGCCACAAATATATTTCCTAAACAAAGCTATTTAATCATTGTATTCTTAGTGTATGTTCTATGTAAAAACGCATGCAGGAAACTTTTGTAGTAAATAAATTATTTTGAGATTTTGGATACTTCTAGTTTCTGAATAATCTTTGTGCGCCTCAAGAATTTATTATTTATTTTAGTGAAGTAGACATGATTTTTTTAATGAGGTCCTATCATCCTAACATAACCCTCACTACGCCTTTTATTTATTAAGATTTTTTTTTCCGCAGTTCAAAACGCACAGACAGACAAACATACAAAACATTATTGCATTGGTTATATTTCTTAAAGTAAATTTATTATCAAATTTGTTACCTGGATAATAGTAGTCAGGCTCTGAAAATTCGAAAAGTAAATTAATCAACATTGCGATATCAAAGAAAAACAAAATCATTTGAAACTATGTAATATTTCAGAGAGCGTTATGAAAATTAATTGTAGCGCAAACGGAAATTTCTTGTTTGAGAGAATGTTTCACATATTTGAAGTACATATAGAACATATATTTTATAGCTTGAAATATAGCTCTAGCGAAAAAGTAATTGCATTGTTTTCTAAATAAAACATAAAAAAGAAAAAATTAAATCTTTAATAGCTTGTGAAGAACTTAGAATTAAAAACAACTTTTAAGACTGATATTTGGTTATTAATCTTACCTGGATAAACTGGATCTACCTCTGAAACAAACATGTTAGAGATATAAAAAGATCCGGTTTTAATGTTTTAGCAATTAGTTATTATACAGTCTAACATGTATCTAAGGCATAAGAAATGATATTTAATTTTGTATTTTACCTGGATAAGTTTGATCCACCTCTGAAAAATATATTATAGAAATGAAAACATTTTAGATTATATGATTTGAAGAACATTTTATTATAAAACAGATTATTTTTTATATATCAAATGTAGGCTTAATTTTTTTTAGTTTGGTAACTTACCTGTATAAGTTTGATCCACCTCTGAAAAAAGTAATAATAAAATGTATAAATGATAAAGATAAATTAAAATAATTGATTTTTACTTCACACAATTTCTTTTAAGTAATGTTTAATAGTTTATTCGGTTCTGCTATATTTTAATAACGTTTGAAATAATTAAAATTATATAATGGCGTTGCATTTAAAGAGCAGCCAATCGTTTTTAATGTATTTTTTTCATATCTTACCTGGGTAGCTTTGTTCTACCTCTGAAAAATAAGAACACATTTCAAAACATATGCCAAATTTTTTTAACCAGGAGCCGTGTAAATAAAAGAACGTTATAACAATAAGGTAAGTGAATATCAGCGGAATGGCTAGTGATTTTTTTAAATTTCAAAATTTTGATCTTACCAGGATAAACAATGTCGACCTCTGAAAAAAAAAATTTAAAATATATGATTTTAATTTTCAATTTTAAGCCCTTTAAAATAACTCCAAAATAATAAACAAAACTAACAAACAGTACGTTAAAAGCAACAAGTAAAAAATAGATTAAAACATTAACTGTTTTGGAGTAAGAGATTATAGTTTATGCCTATATCAAAGTTCAACTTAATAAGGTTATTTAGTCCTGCACACCAAAACCTACATTATATAAGTATTTTTTTTAATTTAGGTTACTTACGTGGTTTTCCTGTAAAGAAAAAAAATTGTTAATACCGTAATAAAATCTATTCGATAATATTGTTATATATTAGAAAATAATTTAAACCAATGCAAATGTTAAACGATGCATTTATGATTTATCTATACATTTCTTCATCTCTTAACAGTACCACACCACATACACATTTACGTTAAACTAAATATAATATACCGAATATCTAAGATTTGAAAAGATTAAAAAGAAGTTTTCATATTTCAAATTACCTCCAACTCCAGCGCCTGCATTTTTTGAAACACCAACTTTTTTACCTTTTTTACCTTCAAGGTAAAATGTACATATTTAGTTAAATAATAATATCATTTTAAATAAAAGTAGTGATTGTGTAATTATCTATGTGTGCTATTAGCCTAAAGGATCGACGTGTTGAATTTACACAAATTATGTAATAACCTTTTTAATTGTTTAAAATTATTATGTTCAAACACAGGCTATTTGAACAAAGGTATGATTTTGTTTAATAATTTACAACAAAAACAATGTGATTTTTACCTCCTTTTACGCGAAGTTTCTCTATAATAAAATGAAAAGTCATTTACAATTTATGTTTCATAATTCAAATTAAAAATGCTAGGTTTAAACTTAAAAATGTAAACTAGCAATTAAACAATATGTGTTGTGATTCAAACTAGCTGTATTATTTCATATTTAAATTAGAGAATTTTAAAAATATTAATGTTATCGAAAATATACATTAACTCTAAATAGTATGTTATTTGAATACTTTACAACACTCGAAAAACGTACTAACTTTAAGATTATAATTACACTTAACATTGAAATATGAAAACTTACTTCTTTTTGGGACTAATGCACCTACAAATAAAATAGAACGTTATGTTAGTTCACGTGTTTTATATACTTTGTTCGTCATTTTAATAACCGCTGCAATTTATAACATTGTCAGCGTCATAATTCATTGACATTTAACGTAAATATTGCTTTTATTTTGCAGTACTCTACATCAAACAAATTACGATGCTAAACAATTTCGTATTAATAACGATTTAAAGATAATCTTTACACCAGACTATTTTGATGGAATATAAATTATGAATTAAGTTAGCAATTGTTTTTTTTAATAAAAGAATCATTAGTTACCTCCTGCGCCGAATCCTACTCCTTGCCCTGAAAACATTATATGATATCATTACCATCACGGATACCCTACTAGCTCACGTCATTATTGAATATAAGAGACGTAATAATCCATATGTTGGTTGGGATATGGTCTATTAGCAATTCTTATAGAGGGTTAGCGTGGTCGGCAATAGGGCTTGTAAGTCTCGGTCTCTTTGATTTTCATATTGAAATATCGTTGGCCAGAGAGAGGGACGCATATTCTAGCTAAGTTAATTGTTGTAAACATGGCAGCTATTTGTTTCTAGACATCCCTTCAGTATTTGAAAATACCAAGATTTCCCAAATTGCAACAATTGATATTAATATTGCAATTGCGTATATGACAACTTATTAGGGATTCGTATTGATAATGTTAAAAAAAAGCTAGTCGTCTATCATAATTACTGTTCACGATTTTAAATAACTTAACAATACCGGAAGTAACTATTCTATTTAATTATTTTACCGATTATATTTGGTTTAAAAAATACTAGCTGGCAAGTACGAGAACGAGAAGTTAGTGACCTAACTCAAGTCAGAGATCTGAACTTAAAAATTCCATTTAGGCAGCCGGGTGCTCTAATACCTAACCACGCCATCCCCTCAGTGTAACGTATTCAATTCTTAATTAACAATCGATACAATATTACAACACGTGTTTGGGATTACGTTAAAGCATTGATTACCTTGGTTTCCAAGTTTAGTGCCTGAAAATAATATGTCGCGTATCGTTAGTGTATAAACATCAATTGTGTATCAACATTAATCACATTTATGATATCAGAAATACATGTATCAGGCTCGCGATAAGAATTTTAAAATAAATGAGACATTATTTTCAAAGCACACTAATACTTCTTAATATATATATATATATATATATATATATATATATATATATATATATATATATATATATATATATATATATATATTATATGTGTGTGTGTGTAATATAATAATACATAATATGCAATAATACAACTATATTTATTATGTAAAGAAATGTTAGCGTTAGACTAAGTCATTCCAGTCAATGAGTTTCTGTTTCACATAAACAATGGTTCTCAAAATATATATTTTTAACAAAGCTTAATAAATGTTTTTTACATAATTTATAGAATTTTAAAATAACATTAATTACTGTTACAAATTAATGTAATTATAATGACTGATGAAAACGAAGCTAGTACAGAACAATATTTGTTTAGTGATGGTAGCACAATCTAAAACAACCATAATGGTTTTCATTCAATACAAATAGAATGGGAAATTCTTACCAAATTTGAAAGAAACAGATGCTGTAAAATAAAATATACGTTTGTTATTGTTCTGTCGCAAACTATACATAATTAAGTATACCGTAATAAATAAAATGGGTATTTTTTTTAAAATCTTGAATGAGTTATAATTTATTTCTCCGTTTTTTTGCTCATGTAAGGAGACTTTAGTGAATTATTGTATGCGTATATAATTTTTATATTTTTCAACGCTAAATATTAATTTTCTGAATTTTAAGAACCATATTACAATATATGATAATTTATTGTCGTGTTTATTACTTGCTAGTAAAATGGTATACTAAGTCGTATATCCTTTAACATAATCAATTAAAATGTGTAAACAGTAATCTTATTTAGACACCCACCTTGATTAGTGTTGCTGTTTCCTGATTTACCTAAAACATTAAAAAATAGTGTATACATTATTAAAAGAGAAAAAAAACATATCGTCCTCTACAAATATAAAAACGAAATTTCCTTGAATTGAAATCGAGGTTATTGAAAATGTTATGCTATTTTCTTTTTCCAAATAACTTTTTTTTTAAAATTTAAAATGTTTAGTTTTTCACTAGCTTCCCAACAAAAAACTTTTTCCAAATAACTTACCCGCGACTCCATTTGTGCTTATAGAAAAACCTGAACCTGAATAATCATTAGTTAAGTTACGTGCTTTTAAAAAGAAAAAACATGTGGTTACAATAACAAATAAAGATATATATATATATATATATATATATATATATATATATATATATATATATATATATATATATATATATATTGGTCAAATTTTGTTAATATCATTACTGTAATTTTATTCAAAGTATTTTTAGACTTACTACCGAACTTGATAGATGGTTCCCCTTTGGAAACAAAAAAAAAATAACTTTAAAGATAATAAAGCACTGCTTTGTGGTAGGCTATATTATTATAAAGTAATATTTAACATATGATTTTCTTTACACGTTTATGCAAGCTTAGACTGTAATGCTAAAAACATGTTAGTTTTATGATTGTATAGTATTAATCGCCCTAAAGAAATTTTATTAAAAACGATTCATTATCAGAAATATTATGTCAACTTTTTATATGGGTTTTATTTATTACATTAATTATCCCGATTACCGTTTCTACCCAAGACATGTGTGGCAGAGTAAAGGAATAGTTTGATCAGCCGCCTTCGTTTTCATTAATCTTTGTTAGGTACCCAACAGAGCTGTGTGTGAAATTCTAGTGACTTAAACCGGGATTCGAACCGGGGCTTTCTGGTTAGCAGTCGAGCTCTCTGCCGCTAGGCCACGCGGTTCCATTATAAAATTAGTATTATGATACTATTTTAGACTCATACAAATGGGATTAACACATTTTACATTTCATAAGAGTGGAAACACAAATTTACCTCCGTTAATCTTGAGTGTAGGTATTTCTAAAAATTAAAGAAGAAATAAGCTTTTACTTTTTCGATCAAATTATTATAATTTAAATCACAATTTTAAAAAATGTTCAATGATAATCAGAAATTTATAAGCTAGAATGGCAATCTAGAAGCCACATTTTAAAAACACAATAAAAGAAAAACCCATTTTATCAATGTATATAATTACTTCATATTAATACAAAATAGAGGCTTTGTTTTTCTATAACTGTTTAAAAGTGATTAGGGACCTATAGATTTTTATGCTATCAAAAAGATTTTAAGACAGCTGCCATACACAGAAATTTGAAACGTTCTGCATTTTGAGGGTGTCAATGTTTTATTTACAATATCTGTTTGTTCGGTAGGTTTGTATATATTAATAAAAAAAAGTAGTAGAGGTATATAGAATCACCAAGAAATGGTTACTTAGTACTACTATACGTGCTAATTTTTAAGGAAAAACTATAGCTACGAAACTAGTTTTAATTCATTTTTATAGCAATCTGTGATTCTATCGCTAATTTTAGTTACAAGACAACATAAGTGGAAACTAATTAGCTCACCGAGTCTTCCTGGTAAGTTTAAAGCTGCAAAATTAAAACAATTTTTAAAACACTTTAGTTTCGTATCACACAAAAAAATTATATTTAATACAAGCACTTGATATATAAATTGAATAGGCTACATATTCGATGCAGGTACGGATATTCCATACATAGTTCTAATAAATATATTTGATACGGGTTTTTAATACAAATATTTAAAGCAGGAATTCAATGTGAGCATTAAAAACATACAGATAATTAATAAGTTGTAGTTAACAAATTATCAACGCTTTTATCATTATAATATTCAATGACTTACTGATGGTACCCTCTGCCACAAAGGCAGATGCAACTAGGAGCAACAGGACTTTCATCTTCGCTTTCTGCTTGTGTGGACTGTGATACGAACTACCTGCCCTCTGATCTTTATATTCCAACTGATATGCTAACTAGCGTCTACATATTTGTGTCTAATTGCTACAAGTTAACATATCATTACCCTGCTCTGGTTAAAGGGGTAAGTTTTAAGTTGTCTGTCTGTTTACGTGAGTGATTCAGTCTGATTCTGATGAAACAAAGTGAGCTGTTTAATTAAAAAAAAGTTAATTCGAAATTAATGAGAGAATAGGTTAATTAGTTAATTAATCAGTAGAGCGTCGTGGCTGGTGTTTGGATTTAATCGTGCGGATGACTTATGCTTGTCTGGGGTTAGAGCAAGAAAATCGATATTGAATACTTTTTGTAGGTCATTGAGACGAAACGTCAAAATAAATGTGACATGTTTTTCTGTAAAGAGAACTGTTGAGTAGCATCAGTAGACGGGGTTGGAGAGCAGTGGTAAGGGTGGGGGTGACACCAATTAGAGTTGACACCAGTAAGAGGTGACATCAGTTAGGGGTGACAAAGGCAAGAGGTGACACCTATTAGGTTTGACACCAGTTAGGACTGACACACTTAAAGGTGACCCCAATTAGGGGTGACACCATTAAGGTGACACCAATTAGTGGTGACACTTTTATAGGTGACCCCAATTAGGGGTGACACCATTAAGGTGACACTAATTAGGGGTGACAGCAGAAAGAGGTAACACCAGTTGGGGTAACACGAAATCGAAAATTCGTTACGTTTTCTGACAAATTAATCTTCCGTACAATCAAATTAATGCATTCATTTTGGTGGAAAAGGTGGATCCCTGACTGGCTGAAAGCTATTTTAAGTAGCCATTACAATTGCATAGCTGTGTAGAAGGATTGCGTAGACCTTCTTGAGTCCACAAAGCACTAATGGGGACCTTCTCATATTTAGGAAAGCAATGGCGTCTGGTCAAACTATCCCTTTGCCACAGATAAAAGAGAACTCTACTTCACCTGTTTTATGGACGTTATGGTCCGAAATGAGTACTGAACAGTGCACTAGTTATTATAATAATTTTAAAGCTTACATTCGTTTAGCTTTTGGAAAATAAACAGTTCACTGTTAATTATGTCTGTGTATATGCACCAAATTGCAAATTGCGCATTGAAAAAAAGAATAATTTAAAATTCAAATTTATTCGGTTGTCGCATTGCACAAAAGCTCATTGCTCCCGACTGTACATGATAGGGTAGTGTGGTGGAGATAGGCGGACGCCTAGGAAAACAACACCAATTCGCTTGCTATCAGGATTTGACGTATCGTCAGTTTTTTTCATCAACGACTTAACATTTTATTCCTACCCGATAAGTTACTGTAGAGTCCAAATCTAGAAAAAACAAGTTTGTGAAGAAAGGTTTAATAGGATAGCTATAACCTCATCGTTAAGATCTGTTGAACTCTGACCTTTAGTAAAGAAAAGTGTAATCAGTTTTTAAAGTACGACACATAGACTGGTATGGCCAAAACTATTGAATTTGGGTTTGCGAGTTTCATCACCTAACATCAGAAGAGGGCTGGAAACTCTATTCAGGGGACGCAACAATGGCGAGACTGTGGTCTTTAATAAGCCTTAGACCGAAATCTTTATATAAAGAAACAGTTACATAGTTATAAAATATTTACTAAAGATGAATGTGTTTGCGGCAGATATTAAATTATCTAGCTTGAGAACATTTCTGCAAAAAAAAATATTTTTAAAAATAACTAAAATGTATATAGTTGTAACTCAACAGGCAAAAAAATTATTTGAGTTTTCATGTTTAAAAATTTGTGAAATCTACTGTAGCAAATACATTGTGTTAAGACAGGGGATGTTTTGAAATTTTGCATTTTTTTTTGTTTTAACAAAATGAAAAATAACATGAACCAATTCGTAATGGTTTAGATATATTAACATAATGTTAAAATGTTTTTAAAAATCAGACGGCACGTCATACAAGCTGTTTAACACATTGACAATAGATCCAGGTAAAAAGTACGTCAGCAGGTAAACAATGTGTGACTGGGAAAATGCGCAGGTTAAAACTGCGCAACGGAAAACTACGCAACGGAAAATTGCGAAGCGGAAAAATGCGCACAAATGTGCACACGGGAATTTATGTTTTCTTAAATGGGGTATTTATATACATTAACAAAATAAAAGATTTGTCCTCGAAATATGATAAAATTAAAGTGTAATTGTATAATAACAATGTACTTCCGCATTTTTCTGTTTGAGCAGCTTTCCGCTGCGCAGGTTTCTGTTTGCGCAAACGTTCTGGGAATCATATACACAGTAATAGGAGAGCTCTACTTCACTTGTCCCGTAGACCGTTCGGTTTGAAAGAGTTCTTCCATTTACTTAAACCTTTTGAGTAAAGTTTTCATATTAATGCCTAATGGCGTGTTTTTCTGTGTTTTTCGACATTATCCAGTTCACCTTAGGATCTTTTGGGGCGGCTAGTATACACATTCTCATTGATTATCATTATATTTTCGCCTTTTTGCCCAAGACACGCGGGACATCTATTTTAATGACCTCAGCATACTAAAGGATAATGTGGTCTGCACTTAACCAAGTCGAATATTTCTTCTCTAGCTTGAGTCAGGTACTCTTCTGACCTGAGTTCACTCAGGAACGTCCTATTTATAATTATAATTATTTTAAATATACTACATGATCATAGAGCATATTTTACAACTATCTTAACAGATGTTAAACATATGCTCCAATATGCCCAAAATGTATGGCATCTTCTAGTTTAAACATTGACCTCGACCCTATTGTACCGAACTCGTAAATTTCAATTTTACAATCTATCGATAGACCACGATGTCTCAACTATTTGTTGAACACAACATTTTAAGAGTTATACTGCTTAACGCTAAATTTTCTTCAAATTGCGTCAGTATTTACTATTCTAACTTGTTTAAGTGCGTAGACATTTTTTTTTCTAGCGTTTAAAGCTGCCTGTTTGTTTTTATTGTTTTTTTATTATAAAAACTATATCTACTTTTCAAAAACATTTTGTTTATATAAATATTCATATATGTAAGAAAACAGTAATTAAGTGGTTCACGCTAAATGTTTACAATTGTAGAGCCGGGTTTTTTTTGACGGCTATTATTAGGGGTAGATAATTTAGTTTGAAACGATTTTAAACTTAGGGGAGGTAACTAAGAGGAGACTGCTTTTACGGAGGGGGGGGGGGGCGTGTAGGGTACGGGTTGGGTGAAAGGAGGGTGGGGGTAGTATCGTCCTTAACGACCTACTTATAGTGTTTTTAAGCAAATATTTTTAGTGGCAGCACTGGTACTCATTCTTGTAATCTACTCCAAGCTTGAAGCTGGGAGCTCTTTAAAATGATGGTAGGCACCAAAGTGCCCGTGGATCGCTCTGGTTCACACAGAGAAGACTGGTGCAAATAGACCATTGATTATAGTAGTATCCAACCAAATAAATTATTATTAATATTTTAAATTTAAAAAAAATGAAATTTAAAAAAAAAACTGTGTTAGGACTGCTACAGATATAGATTCTAAATGTTTGAAAGCGAACAATGTTTGATTTGATGTGTCTCATTGTACTCAACATAACATTCCGTTTGCTTAGCATTTTTATAATTTTATTTTTCTTTAATCCCAAATTTATTTCAACTCTACTTAAAAGCCCAAACTCCGCCTCAGCCCGCCATGCCGATGGAAAAAAAATCCCTTAAATCATTATTTAATTACAGATTTGCATTTTCAGGTTTTTTGTGTTAAAAATAAAATTGTAAATAGACGTTTTGTATTAGGTCTATGTAAAAGTAAACCATCTTAAATGAATCAAAGTAGGCTACAAGTAAGAAAAAAATATTTCTATTGTAAATCTGTATCGGTCCTCAACAGCCAATGATGAAAAGTGTAATACTAAAGAGAAAATACAAGGCAAAATTACATGTCTGAAGTGAAAAAACAATTATATAAGTACCCCTAACTCACTATGTAGGTCACCTAATCAACGGTGATCAAGTCGAGTGTTATTTATATATATATATATATATATATATATATATATATATATATATATATATATATATATATATATATATATATATAACTAGTGTTTACTATAGACTGAATTGATTGAAATAAGTTTTTCTTTCAGACTTCTTTTCACCGTGGATTGGGTGGGGGGTGGGGGGGGGCACTTGAAATTTCCGGATGGGATAGCTAGGGCGGACATTGGGGGGAGGAGGGGGGGGGGCTCCGCCTGAAAGATCGTATGACTAAATGTCTACAATCACCGTTATGATCAGTAGCATAGCGAGGGGGGGGGGGGGCAGAGGGGGGGCATATGTCCCCGGGCGCCGACCTTAGGGGGCGCTAAAATGGGTTGGAAAAATAAATTGAAAGTTTGAGGGGGGGGGGGTGCAAATCGAAATCTCGAGGGGAGGGGGGTGCAAATCGAAAAGTTTTTCCCCGGGCGCCGGGAAGGATCGCTACGCCTCTGGTTATGATTCATAATGTATTACATTACTTAGGTTTATATCTGTTATCTTGTAGTTGTGTATTGATAAAGCAATTAGTTTGTAAGTTTAATTTTTAAATTCACTTATATTTGTATTTATATCTTTCTCGTATATGAAATATAAATGAAGAATTGTAATCGTGCAATAAATTGAAATTGATATTTTCACAAATCTCGACGTTTTAAACCTATATGAGGCGGAAAAACTGTGTGTGTGAGTATGTGTGTGTGTGTGTGTCCTTGAACACGATAACTTGAGTACCGTTTCAGTATTATATCAAATTTGTAGATCTGTTTACAGCTTTCGGCAATTTCCAGTAACCGGAAGTTATCTTGTTGACGTCACACATACAGACACACACACAAACTCATACACTAATACTCCCATACATACAATGAAACTTACAGACACCGAGATTAGTTTTTCCTACATAGGAAAATATAAAACGACCATTTTGTAAAAATCTTGATTTCGATTACAATACTTTCACTTTAGATAGCAAGTGGTGCTATGCACAAGAGGGAGGTGGGATTAATGAGACAAAAGCCTATATAAACCCCAAGGGTCCAGTGGAGGGAATGCTGGTTAAGAGAAATATTCGATTCTTTATTCTGTACCGGACTTTACTTAATGATGGGTGTTGCTTTATCTTTTAGCGTACATGACTAAAAGATTGAGAGATCAAAATAACTAGCTTTAAATTTGTATCGCTGTATGGTTTATTTTGACTACATTTTGTGTATAGCATGCGCTCCAAACACTTTTAAGAACCTCCCCCCCCCCCTCCCACATTTACCTCACACACTCCCCCACAATCTACCTGCAGTGTTAATACACTTACACATTTTACCCACATCATGCACACACTCTCCACACATACTACCCACATCACTCACACACTTCCTCATATCCCACACTCCATACATTCACACATCCCCATGCCCTACCCCCAAACACGATGGACTACAGTAACCCTAACATACGCCAGATGTATCCATTTGTATTACTTTATCAGCAGACAATGTCTCATCTCCGCTTTACCCAGATGTTGCCAACATGTATCTTTGTTTGCCTCGTAACATTCTTTGGGGGAAGCACAGGCTAGACGAGGCGTCAAAATCTTAATAGATGTTTATTGTAAGTCTGTAGGTCAGTTTACTAATAGAGCTAATCGTAAACAGTCTTAGATAGCCTTAAATATATTTTTTAAAATAGTAATTGAAGTACTTAGAACAACACGATATGGTTGTTGACACTAATTAGACCATCAGGATCTGATTGTTGATATTAATTAGACCATCAGGATCTGGTTGTTGATATTAATTAGACCATCAGGATCTGGCTGTTGATATTAATTAGACCATCAGGATCTGACTATTGATATTAATTAGGCCATCAGGATCTGACTATTGATATTAATTAGACCATCAGGATCTGGTTGTTGATATTAATTAGACCATCAGGATCTGACTGTTGATATTAATTAGACCATCAGGATCTGGTTGTTGATATTAATTAGACCATCAGGATCTGGCTGTTGATATTAATTAGACCATCAGGATTTGACTGTTGATATTGATTAGGCCAGGGGTATCCAAACTTTTCAGCCCCGAGAACCGCATTAACTATCAAGTTCGGGGGCCAGAGTTTCTTCCATGCATCTATTTTCATCAAGCCTAAGTTATCCTCCGATGTTTCACTTTCGTGAAACAAACATTGATTGGCTGAATAGGAACTCCGTGACCGAGTACTGACAGCCCCACATTATAGCTTTTTGTTTACAAAACTTTGCATATAAAGACTTTAAATAAAATGCAAATTTAAACCCCATGACCTAGTTTTCCTTTTTTGTTCGCTTATAATGTGTACAATAAAATTTATTTTTACCTATCGAATAGCAAGATGCCATTGTTTATTTTGCCATTACACGTGAAAGCCAAATTGTATTTGTTTTTGTTTTTGTTTTTATTTAGTTACAGAAAATATTAAAAACATCAAATACGTTCAAAAAAGTCCAAAAAATTTCCAGACAAACAAGATTTTATAACCATATTAATTTGTAACTACGCCGTATATGATTTTTACAATATTTAATGGGCCTCTCGAATACCTTTGAAACTTTTCTCCCTCGCGTCAAATTATATGTCCTCGCACGTTCGGGGGACCTTTGGCATAAATGTAAACTTTCATCACTAGAAATGATGTTGTAAAGGAGTAAAAGTCAGGGCTTTCCTTATCCGGGATATCCAAAAAGAGTTTTGTCGAATTCTTGATCAGTGAAATGGTTTGGATCAATGGTTTTATTGATCGAAGCCTCTCCCAGGCACGGGACCTATTCGAGGATTGCAAGGGCACGACTCCACTGCTGGGGTTGTTTATAGTTACTTAACCTTGTGATTCTTACTATCGAAAATCTTTAGTAAAGTGCGAAAGATTTACTCGAAGTAGAGAAAAACCTTGAATTAATAGAGTAGTTGCGAATAAATGTGTGTTAGAGTTACAAGCCTAAGTGAGGTAATTCAGTCTTAAATTTAACTTTCTATAATTAATATAAACATTATTTTAATCTTTATGGGTTTTAAAAAAAAATTAGTAGCAATCAGTCATTCACAGTTAAAGAAAATCCAACAAACACCAATTGATTACTATATTATGTTAATATTTGTAACAAGTAATTAATTAAATAATACTTGTTAATTTTATTTTTTTCATCACTTACATTTTTGGTGTATTTTACGAAGTTTAAGAACGTAGATTTAGGTTGTGTCCCCTACCTGTTTTGACTGCATCAATCGGAAGACGTGTTTCGGCTATTTCAACAGTTTAGATAGATGTGTGGTTGTAAAGCACTATAGATCACGTAGACGGGCTATCCCAAATTTGATCACATTATATGTGTAATAATATATCATAAACATAAATGTGCACACTTTTTCATTAAACACAAGCCGTAGTATCTAGTTAGAGCAAACTTTTAGAAGACAGCTTCAGATTTTGAAATACACAGAACAGCATACATTAATTAATTAAATACATTTTACTGTCCTTTATTTCAACGCTTATAATCAGGATAAAAAAATTAATTAATGTAAACATTTTTTATTTTCTTTAATTTCAACGATAATAATCTGTATACACAATATTTAAATATTTTTACTGTAATTTATTTCAACGCATATAAGTCAGAAAAATATATCTAAATGCTTTTTACTGAACTTAAATTTCAACGCTAATAACCATGATATAAAATATATTTTAAATACATTTTAATATATTTTAAATTTCATTTTTGTTAACTAATAAAGGAAGCCATTACGCTGCCAATCAAATACATTTTTATTACACCATTTTTTTGTTTTAAACTTTTCAGCCGCAGTACATCATCCTCAGTCGATGGCTGTGAAATATACAAGACAGTGATTATACAAATAGTTGGTGAGATTAATACATAAGATTCTTATGATAAGAAGTGAAGGCACAAACAGTTAGTGGTGGTATACGTTTTGAATTTTGACTACAATAAAAGGTTACACAAATAATGGAGCACATATTTAGGGCTGTTATACTAAATGCGATTGAAAAGTTACAAATTATAATTTCAGTGCTAGATAAAGTGTATTCAATATAAATATAAATAGTACGAAGTATTGACTTTATGAACGTGTTAAAATTTAATAAAAAAAGAAAGCATATCTGCCTCCATCCACTTACTTTCACAGGTCAAGCTGACCAGGTCACGCTTGATGTACTCCAGCATGCTGTAGCCTTCAGACAGAAAGACGTACTCAGGCTTGCTGGCTATGGCGTTAAGTTCTGTCTTGGAGGGGTCGGGCCCGATACCCACAGCGATGACGGTGGTACCCTGAGCCTTTAAGGCCTCGGCTGCTTTTGCCGCTGGAATTATTGTAAAACAGCAGAATAGTTTTATGGAACTGTGTGGCCGAATGGTAGAACGGTCGGCTACAAGCCAGAAGGACTGGAGTTCGGGTCTCGGTTTGGACGCGTGACTTTAGGACTTTCCCGAGTCCACTCAGCTGTGATGAGCACCCGACTTATGTTGAGGAAAATAAAGGCGTTGACCACACTATCCCCTTACATATGGAGATGAAGAAACATGAATTCTACTTCATCTGCCCATTAGATCGCTAGGTCTAAAGAGGAATTTTACTTACTGCAGCTTATATGAATGTTTATATTTTTATGAACTTGAATTGTGTTTTAATAAATTATGAGCTATCAATGAAATAATGTTTTAAAAGGATCTCAAATTGTATACATTAGATATGCACTAGTTGTATTCTTCCTCTTCGTTCTCTATTGTATTAGTGAACTTGTGTTTCCTTCAACAAATTATTGATAGCGAGTCAATTTCTGTCTTGGCTTCCACAGCATGTGCCCACTCAAGAATAATCTGAGGAGGCCGCTGGCAAAACCTGTTAAGTCCACTATTTAAAAATGTACTCTTATAGCCTTCTTAATTAAATGGCAAGTAAAGTAGTTTACTCATTTTTGTTCAAAAAAAAGTATACTTTAAAATAAATGATGTAATCGTACTATATAGAAAATTCTAAAAATAGTTAATCAATAAAGAATTTAAAAGTCGATTTCCTCTAAATCAACAAGAATTGACTTAGCAGGTTTTGCAAGTGGACTCCTAATTTAGAAGGCAGCTCTTGTTTGATTTTGGGGTTTTCGTTTCTAAATGAGATTATGTCTACAGCTAATGAGCTTCATCTGCCTTGAGGTCTTAACTCCGGACTTTAGGGAATAGCACTGGTCTTATTCAAGAATAAATGTTTACAAAGAATATGATTAAATGATGATTTTTCTGCATGTGCAATGCCATGTTTTTCACAAACTTACTTTCTTTCGGCTTAACAGACTGTCCATCTGTCATGACCATCAGGATATTGTTAGCGTCGTCCCTCCCCCCTGAAGCTGTGGAGAACATCTTGTCATCGGTGATAAACTGTAAGCCCAGGTGCGTGTAGGTGCCCTGGTTGTTCGGGTACTTGATGCCCAGCAGAGCCTAAAGATATATCGGAAAATATTGCAGTTTTGATTAGAGGCCTTACGATCTATTGCGGCGCCCGAGGCAAACTATCAATTTTGTTCCCCCTCCCTACTTTTTTTTTACCAGTCCCTATCCTAAGCCAAGTAGTAATCTTTTTTCTTTCTAAATCTCCCAATGGGTATATACAGTAATGCCGCTCTGAATAAGTTTCAACCCTGTTTGGCGCCCCCTTATAGTCGGCGCCCGGGGCAAACTATCAATTTTGTGACACTCTCCCCCCCCCCCCTTTTTTTTCACCTGTCCCTATCCCGTAACAGTTTTATTTTGGTCACATAATTGATGAAGAAAACTGCTAAAGCCAAGTAGTAATCTTTTTTTTTTAAATCTTCCAATGGGTAAATTCAGTAATGCCGCTATGGATAAGCTGTTACATTTTTTTCTACCCCGTTCGGCGCCCCCTTATAGTCGGCACACGGGGTAACCGCCTCACATTCCACCCCCAGCTACGCCTCTGGTTCAGACACACACGCAACCATCAACAAAAATGTATAGTCATCGTTAGATCTTCGATTGTTTTACAATATTATTTATGTATGCGATCAGTAGAGCATCACTTTCTGTGGTATCAAATAAGCCTAATTTATTTACTTGCGTAAACTTTACGTTCGCGAAGATGGACCATACTCACATGATTATCGTATATTAGCATTTGCTAAATAGTCTTAGCTTTAAAAACACGCTATTTACCAATATATAATAACGTATGTCAGTGTGTATTTATAGCTGACCTTTGACAGCGATTCGTGGTCAAAATATTTGTTGAGGTCAAATATTTTGGTGGCGTTTCTGTTGAAGATGACGGTTCCAAATCTGACATCATCCTTGCCGACGTTGAAGTTCTCCGTGACGCCCGCAGCAAATTTGACCTGGTTGGCCCAGTTGGTTTTGCCGATAGAGGTGGAGGCGTCCAGTAACAAGATGATGTCGGCCTTTGTTCGCTTCGTGCATGGCTTAGGCGTTGGGGCTAAAAGACATTTCAACATTCAACAACACCACTTCGTGCATGGCTTAGGCGTTGGGGCTAAAAGATATTTCAACATTCAACAACACCACTTCGTGCAAGGTTTGGGCGTTGGGGCTAAAAGACATTACAATATTCAACAACACCACTTCGTGCAAGGTTTGGGGGTTGGGGCTTCAATATAAATTTCAAACTCGTTACGTTTTATATTGTCCAAATAATTTATGGTTTACTTTTTACTAGCTGATATTTATTTTGGGTAGTGCTGACCACACCATCCTTTCATACGCCGAGGTTAATGAATCAGATGAACTCTACTTCATCTGCCCCATCGGGGTTAAGAAGAAAGATTTATTTTGGTACTCATTTAACAAGCACTTAAATACCATCTATTTTCATACTAAATATTTTATCTATAATTCGCATTTAATGGCTAAGTACTGGGTCTAGCTATGGATAATCTTGTATTGAAAATCTCGTTTATATTGCGTAAGTAAATTTAACATTCCCATCTCTTTGTTCAAGTTTAGATGATGTAGTATTCACCTGTTTATGTAACATCGGCATAGGGATTGATTGGATGGTCAGCATTATACTCAGTAATCTTCACGTATGAGTAAGATCGTGGTTGTAAGAATTTAAACCCATATTCTCAACGCGAGATACTCGAAAAAGTAACAGAATGTTCTTCTACTGAAGCATTATCCAATATAGTTCAATACACAAAGATTTACAAAAAACTAAAACGTGTCCCAATTGAAAGATAATTGCATAAATTAAGTAGGCCTACATAGTAGATTTTGTATAAGGTCGTTGAGTGATTAGGAGATATAGCTCCCACAAATTCTAGTCAGCATTGCATTCTTAGAAAAAAAACGTATTTTCCATAATGTCTAATAGACGTACGTGCAGTTGGTCTAGTTGTTGTTGTAGTCGTTGTGGTTGTCGTTGTTGGCTCTTCAGTCGTTGTAGTTGGCTCTTCAGTCGTTGTGGTTGGCTCTTCCGTCGTTGTTGTTGGCTCTTCCGTCGTTGTTGTTGGCTCTTCTGTAGTTGTTGTTGGCTCTTCTGTAGTTGTTGTTGGCTCAGCTGTTGTAGTTTCTTTGCAAATAATCACATATAATAATATTTTCATAAAAAACTGCTCATGTGTTCAAAGAATATTTAAAAGCGTAACTTTCAACATGTAGCCCATCGTTTAGTTTAAGGACCTTATTGAATCTAACTCAACAAGCAACTATTTAGGCCACCGATTATTTCTAAGGACCATTATGAAAGTAAAACAAGATAATACCTGCTTCATCAGTAGGTTCTGGATACACTGCTCAACATGTGAACGAATTTTACAACAATTAATGCATTTTTAATTCAACATATATCGCTAAACATTTATTAATACTAGCTTTGCATTACTGTGTAATTTATTTTCTGAATTACAATGTATTAAAATTTACAAGTAGTTTTATTTTTGATGCTTGATAAATAGCAACTTACATCCGCCGTCTGTTACTTCTGTGAAAAGAAAATCATTTTACTTAAAACCAGACAAATTTGGTGAATATTTGCAAGTAACTAATTTATGTAATTTCTCAACATCTTTTTAAAAAGTATTAACCTCATTGTCTTTAGTTTATTGCTTAATAATTGTGCATTTTAAGTAAAAAATTCTAACTTTAATAGCGCATTTTTGTAAATAATTTGGGTTATAAAAGTTAACTACCGTTAGTTTAGTAGTAAATTCGATGAAATATTAAGAACATTAGCAGGAGTTTTTTAGTCTTTTCTGGAATAGTTTTATATCAAATTGTCAGAAACAAAAGCGTAAAAATGTCACAATAACACTGACTCACTTGTGCCATCGGTAGGCTCTGGGTAAACTGCGGATAATACGAAAACAAACTTGTATACACACACACACACATATATATATATATATATATATATATATATATATATATATTTATTTATTTATTTATTTATATATATATATATATATATTTATTTATATATATATATATATATATATATATATATATATATATATACAACTATAAAATCAGTGGAAATCCAGAATGAATTGTTAACTCTATATACGTTTTTAAAGAAAATAACTTAATAGTAAAACTACAATGTATTCAAATTCAAGAACCACAAGAAGCCCAACATTTATAACATGAACTTATGCAGCAATCAAACACAACCATAAAGCAACCGGCTTATAAACAAAGCAAAAAATTTTCCAACAACAAACACCACTAGACAACAAGAACATTTCGATACAATATAACCAGCCTAACATGCTATCATTTAGTAGTAATATTAAGATCAATATCAATAGGTGTCACTTAAAAGTGAAAGAGCCTGACATACAAATATCTAGCTCAAATTCTTTTTGTCTTATGGCTTACAACCCAAATTACCGACATTTTCAACAACATACAAGGTGCTAACATGTTAGATAATTACATAGCATAATGTTAAATTACTTACTCTGTAATTAGTAAAGATAATAAATGTTCCACAATAAAAAATTACTTACTCGGGTCAGTATGCTCAGAGTAAACTGAAAAAACAAAATTAACATATTAGTAAAAACAATTTATCGTACAAAAATAAAATATCTGATCTTTACAAATTTAAAACTTAAAAAAACACATAACAAAATAGAAATTTAAAATCGAACAGTTTTTTTTTTAAATTGCTATGGTAATAAGCTTTTAAATGCTTTTAAATGCACTTAAAATAAGAATTAATTAAACCTACTTTCTTGATTAAAAATCATTTAATAGCTCATAAAATATTTTAAATTTTTCGCAACAAATTATTTTATTTTAAACAGCAATTTTTCATTTAATTTAAAACATAATAATCGTGAGATCATGAATTATATGATACTTACTAGGCCCATCTGTGGGTTCTACGTAAACTGAAAAAAATAATTGAAAATACCTTTCAATGGCACTACTTAATGGTGATTAACCTGTAACAGTTCATTAATAAGTGGATTTGTATCAAGCTATTTGTCATCGTATAACTTTTCGTGTCGGAAAAAAAATTAGTTTTACAGGCATTTATGTTAAGTTAAATGTGACCGCCGTTGATTCAAATATTGTAAAATTAGTTCCATCCGATTTAAATGGTTTAAAGTGCATTAAAAAAAAGACAACTGAAAAAAATAATTGAAAATACGAAAATTATCCCTTTCAATGGCACTACTTAATGGTAGTTAACCGTTAACAGTTCATTAATAAGTGGATTTGTATAAAGCTATTTGTCATCGTATAACTTAAAAAGTCGGAAATATTATTAGTTTTACATGCATATATGTTAAATGTGACCGCCTTTTTTTCAAATATTGTCAAATTCGTTCCATCCATTTACTTGTCTTTGGCAGAAGTTCATCTTTTCATGCATATAATATACTGAAATGCGAGGATACAGTCATAATAACAATCTAGTGATTTCTCCTTGAGATTATTTATTCTGAGATCGTTATTCTCTAGACCATTTTTCCGTGAGATATTTTGGTTGGCATATTTGTCTAAGATCATTTGTCCTGTCACTATATATATATATATATATATATATATATATATATATATATATATATATATATATATATATATATATATATATATAATGCATAACTGAAAAAGTAAAGATATTAACAATATCAGTTCACTTACTTGGGCCATCTGTTTCCTCTACGTAAGCTGAAATGATAAACGTGTTAGTCAATGGTTTGTTAACAACTGTTATAGTTGTTCCTAACTTATTTAGTATCTGTGATAGTGTAAAGCTAATGTGCAGCAGTTATAAAAATGTTACGCACTGACAGGATCCGTAGTTTCTGAAAAATAATATAATTGGTATACATTATCTTTAGATAAAATGTAGGACGAACACATCTACAATTAAACATTCTGCTATAATACTTTAGTAATAATTGTAACAATCAGATGAATGGTTAAACCCAAATGAAAGGTAACTGATTGTAAATGCAAAGCAAATATTATATATGTAATCCTTTTCTAATAGTGTCGTATTGTCTAGATGTATAGTTCTTCTGATATAAATAAAAGTGACTTTACCTACCTACATATATTGGCACCTCTACCCCTGTAAAATAATATAGTGAAAATAAAATACATACGAAGTTTTATAATGTAAATGATATATATATATATATATATATATATATATATATATATATATATATATATATATATATATATATATATATATATATATATATATATATAAATATACCTAATAATTGTGGACGTTTTAATTTATAAAAAAAATATATTTCTCTATATTGAACATTAAACTAAATTTTGTGCTGAAATGTTATAGAAAAGACTTACATTTAGATTATAAAGATATCATACTTATTTTAAAAAAATGCTGACATCCAGATTGGGAATTTAAAAAAAATGCTATAATATTTTTACGCACACATTATAATTCATGATGAATTTGGGAAAACTGAAATGTCTACAATGTTTAACCAACATTATTCAGTTTGCTGTCATCTGGTGCTAGGGCCATGTTGTGGCTTTGCAGCATATGTACCGGCGGGAGAGTAAACTCCTGGCATAACTTACAGAGCTGAACCAGCGGGAGCGTAAACTCCTGGCATAAGTTACAGAGCTGAACCAGCAGGAGCGTAAACTCCTGGCATAACTTACAGAGCTGAACCAGCGGGAGCGTAAACTCCTGGCATAACTTACAGAGCTGAACCAGCGGGAGCGTAAACTCCTGGCATAACGTACAGAGCTGAACCAGCGGGAGTTTAAACTCCTGGCATGACCCCCAGAGCTATATCAGAGGTTGGGGGTTTAGCCTAAGGTCAGCAACCTCATATCGTAAAAAATGACTCGCAACAGAATGAGAAAGATGCAGACAAAGGAAGACCTGGTGATGTGACCTGGAAGAAGACACCAAGAAGATACACCTGGGGACAGTTGGAGAGACTAGCCCAGGAAAGAGATACCTGGAAATATTTTGTCAGCGGTCTATACCCCAGGAGGGGAGACAGGCTATCATAACCTAGCCTAACTTTGTTTGACAGAAACAATAATTTTAAAATTCTTGATAAGTTGTATACCATTTTTTTTAAAAAGTAGCAAATAGTAATCTTTATTTTTCTTTGTTCAACTGAAAACATTGTGCACAAAGCATGAAATATGATTGATACTCTACTCGAAAGTGTGAATATTAGAACACGTTTTAATATATAAATATCAATTTAACTTGTAACGTCAGTAATATGTTTTAGAAGAATCTTTTTTTACCAAAAATATTTCAAACTTACCAGCATTCAGCTGCAAAGCTGAAACGAAATTAAAGAAATGATTTTTTTTAATTAACATGTACACAATATTAATTAACAGTTATTACAGTGTTAAAAATTGTGCATCTTACAAAAAGTTATCTCCGCGTGTAGAAAATATAAAGCAACAAACAGCAGCAGACGCATCTTTCTTTTTTTGCTTTTTCTCTTCCAAAACGAATTATCACCCTTTTTTTCTCTCTATATATTCAACCCACTCGGGCTAATATCACCAAACTAAAGCTTTCGTTTAACAACAAGTCAATTCTATTCAGTTTGTTGTAAGCTTAATGGTCTTAAATTTGCATACTGTAATTATGTAAGCAAAGTGCTTTTAACTCGCGTTAGTCAGCGGTATACGAACAAAGCAACGCATAAATAAGCCGAAAATTTAAAAGTCACTAATTAGCTGTCCTTCCTGTAGCAACCGACACGCTAATTAATATCATTAGCGTGTAATTATGCTGAAAGACAGACGTTAGTATCGTCATTAGAATAACAGTAAGCTGCAAACAATATCCTGTAAGCTCCGACAAATTGTTTGCTGAATTTAATGAATACTACAGTTGAGGGGCGCCATGGTGCTTGTGGCTCCTAAGAGCACTCTGGTGTCTGTTTTGAATTGTGAAATACCATACACCAGAGGTGGGCGAAATGCTGCCCGCGGGCCGAGTTTTTGTGCGGCCCGCCAGACATTCAGAAAACCCCGCCTTGAACTGAGATTTGCTTCATGTACGCGACCGAAACTTCGTCTCGTATAGTAAATACAGATGCTCTTTGACAGACCTAAACTTGCAGGGCTGTGATGAGAATCTCAACAAGCAACTTCAATCCTAATTTATTTTTTTTAAATGTAAAAAATTGTGATATGGTGGTGCACTTGTCTCTCTAAACTTATTCTATAATTAAATGTTCTAGCAACTAAAAACCTAGATAGGCCTAGTATGACATTAGCAAAAACAATTTCATAAAAATATCACTTTTATTTATTGATTTTTATGATACCATCTATAATTTTGCTGAAATGAAATGTAAAGTTAACTAAATAAATTTATCAGGCAACCCTTGAGCACTATGGCGACCACGTTCATTTTAAAACGTGCCATACATTATGGATACGTATGCCTACTATAATACTTGACTAAATCTAATCAGGCATATCAGCCGGAGCCCCAGCGGTTGGATGCCCAGCAATATGAATAGTCGAACTTCCATTCTTTTTAACCAGCACCCTGATCGGTCGACAAGGTATGTTTTACCTCGATTCTACTGAGGATTATCATCGTACACTCAAGCCTGTTAGCAACGTGCCATTGGGTGTCTGGGCGATAATGTGGACTAGCCCAGGCCACGTCGGTCGGGTTGCATGCAGCATCCGGACTTCCTTGTGGGCACTTTGACGCCCACATAACTTTTATAGAGCACACCACAAAAATTTACAAGGTGGCACTCGACATCGAATGATTAAACCGAATATGGGTCGTACCCGGCGCCCCTGATGTAGTTTAACCGGTGACGCCATTGAAATATGGGCGGTCGCCCTGAGGTGCTCTTCGTCAATATTTTTCTTACTAAAAAGAGTGGATTAACGTACCCTCAATGTTTTTATACAGCACGGATTTGGGCGTCTGAACGGTAATGTTGACAAATACACGCCCAAACAAATATTATCCAAGAAATATAGCGCCTGTTACGTTTAAATTTAAATTAATTAACGCAGTTTTAGAAAAAAAAACACGGTAACGCGCCTACATATACACGGGTGACAGGACAAATGATCTCAGGACAAATGATCTCAGACAAAATATCTCACACAAAATATCTCACGGACAATTGATCTCAGGACAAATGATCTCAAGGACAAATGATCCCGCGGACAAAAGATACCAGGACAAAATATATCAGGACAAATGATACCATGGACAATTGATCTCAGACAAAATATCTCAGACAAAATATCTCACAGCAAAATTCTAATAGTGTATATGATGATTTTAGTTGATCTGAACATTGTTTTTATTGACTGTCATATGGTTTTTTACTATGTTTAACATTTATTATACGCCTATATAATAATTGTGAGAAATATTTGCTGTATAAATTTGTCATATTGCACAAAATATTTTAAAATTAAGATTACTAATATGATATGCGAAGATTAAAGAAATGTTTCGATAGACAGCGTATGTGAGCTTGCCAAACATGAGACAATACTACCATGTCATGTGGACGAAACTAGATAAAAGGGGATGAAATAATAATAAAGACACACCTTCGTATCAAGTTGGATGCCCGCTTTGATGGCAGAGACATGCCTTAAAGGAAAGACATCCGCCCTCCATGGACAATACAACTAACATCTAAAGTCAATAGTTATGCTTCGGTCACACTTTAGTGATCAGGGGACAAATGCTTATTTCAACAAGCAGCGGTCAACGCATGGCTAACCTTGTCTTACTGTGCATGCAAACAAAGCATTATTAGTGGTGATTACTCAGCTATGGCCTCTTTCGTTACCTCGCAGAAAGGTTTTAGGACATTAGTGTCTGGTGAATTTATGTTTATAAAAGTCATAAGTGGCGCAGCAGGCAAAGAGATTTGGAAATGTGAAGTTAGAACTTGTCGAGCAAGGGTTCACACAATACATGATCACATAGTATTGGAGAGCTGTGATCATAACGATGTACCTGCCGGCATAGAAACGTAAACGTTATTTGTTTGTTAATGATGCAATAAAAACAATAATTTTTCATTACGAACCTAAAGACTCATTCACATTTTTGAAAAATATTTCGCGTATTTTGAACATTAATGTTGTTAAGCTACCGTTACTTTATTTTTTTTAAACACTATCATTTATTATACCTTTCAGGCTAAAGGGGTAAGTTTGTTTTAATTTTTCCTTTTTTAAAATCAAATGCTATTACAACGATTAAGTTTAATAAATCTTTTAATGCTTTGTTAAGTTGAACAAATTCACAATTATTATGCGTGAAAAAAGTAAACAAAACCATATTGATAGTCAATTAAAAAATGTTCAAATCAACTATAATCATCCAATACACTAAATATACTAAAATTTAGCTGTGGGATACTTTGTCTGAGATATTATGTCTGAGATCAATTGTCCGTGGTATCATTTGTCCGGATATATTTTGTCCTGGTATCTTTTGTCCGTGAGATCATTTGTCCTTGGGATCATTTGTCCTGAGATCATTTGTCCTGAGATTATTTGTCCGTGAGATATTTTGTCTGAGATATTTTGTCTGAGATCATTTGTCCTGAGATCATTTGTCATGGAACCTATACACGATTTGTATATTGATGAAATTCTCTTAAGATTATTTCGTCAGCGTTTCTTTCTTCTGAGACCGCAGCAACACGGGGGATTATGCAAGCTTGTTCCTCATAAAATGTGATGTGACTTGCATACCTATATATGTTATGGTCAGCGGCGTAGCGAGGTCGGGTGTCACTCGGTGAGGTACTTAATGGTGAGGCGTAACGACCCTTCCCAGCGCCCGGGGACAAACTTTCAGTTTTCAATTTGCACCCCCCCCCCCCTCAAACTTTCGATGTGCACCCCCCCCCCCCCCCTCTCCACCCTTTTCGGGATTTGTCAAATTTGCTCTTAAAAGACTTTTTAACACTCGAATTAATCACTTAATTAAGTGGAATTATCATTTTTCTCTTTATATTTTGCTATTTTTTGCTTGGTGTCACCCCCCCCCCCTTCCTTCCTTCCTTATACGGAAACCGGCTCAGAAGGTTGACTTCCATTAGCCAGGCAGAACACAGTGTAGCAAACTCCGACCATAAGAGTTTCCCACACATCGGTGGCTACTTCCGTCAGCTCTCATCGGGCTTTCCTTCCCCACCCACCAGACGCGGGACGTCGTCCTACCGCCTGGTACCCAGCTTGATCGTGGGGGGCGTTCGGCCTTTCTTTGAACCTAGCGCATACAGCAGTTCTACTCGGCCAGATCAAAAACCTCTAGCTGCTGTTGGCTACTACTAGCGATTCCACACCCATTAGGGTCATGAGCTTGGTCCGACTAGTGGCACTCTTCCGAAGCCACGTGAAGGCCGCAGTTTAAAGGCAAGATATCTGGTTAGGGTCGAGAGCAAACCCTTCTTGGTTCCCGGCAGTCTTGCGCCTCTCCTCCCCCAAGCTATTATGTAGGAGACTTGGGAGTCCGACGTACCAGGCTCTTCGGAAGTCACCACCTCTCCTAAATGGTGTCACCCGTGCGGTACGCACCCCCCGCCCAGCCCCCCCCCGCCCCTCGCTACGCCACTGGTTGTTGTCAATCTAATTTTAGAAAACTGTAGTTGTGACATAGCACAAGAAAGTTAAGGAAACACTTATCTAAATTGTTTATTCCCCGGGATGACTAAATTACAGGGTAACGATGTGTCACAAGGATGCCACATCGTCTTAATGTCCCAAATCGGTCGCACCGATTGTTACTGTGTTACCAGATGCTATACCCTGCGGTTACCCATAATGCTTATTTAAGGGGGTAGGCTTTAGCAAAATACAACTTCTCAATTAATACGATATATTTATTTCTTTGTGTATATCTAACACTCTAGAAATACTATTTTTTTTAGTTTGGTATGGTGAAATACCAAAAAATTAATGCAAATTTTTAAAAAAATCAAAATATGAAAAAAAAATTCTAGCCCCTTTTTCCCTTTACAAAAACTAGCCACTTGAAACTATTAGTGTAAGTAAAAAAAAGGATCGATGGTTATATGGTCAATGTATAAATGTATATGCTAGTTTTTGAAACTTTAGAACTCGTAAAAGGTTGTTTTTTGGTTATCAATACGTCCGACTTTGCCATGGCAACCATATTTTAAGAAGAGTCCCTGATGCTTGCAAATATTTTCCCTTAAGTACCCCAACATATACATACACAGATAAATGTAAAAAAAAAAAGGCTTTTGAATTAAGATTTTTTTAATTACGATTTTTTAAAATCCTTCCCCCTTAATTAAATATCCGACAAAGGGCAGCTTATTAAAGCCCGGCCGTTTATTTCAACGGTTTTGTTTTTCGCTCCTTACATGTATGGTAGTCAACATTGCATCGCATACAATTTCAACCGGTCCGATCTGACTTACAACCTTATTTGGATGTGCTTTTATGATGAAGCATGGAATAAGAGTTAGTGTTTGTGTTTTAGTAATATATGTTTGGTTGTTTTCATACGAATTAGGCCGTATCAATTTTACT